ATACCAGACGATGTGTACGTCTCAAACATTTCATACATACTCTTCCCGTACATTTTACGAATACTTCGCGCGATCGACGCGTAGAATTGCCGGGCAGGTCGGAACGATAAACCTCAGATTTCTCGATTTATAATTAACGAAATACTCGAAAGGTGCTCTTGTCAGAAACTCTGAAATTAACTTATTCCCCACCCCGTCTGAAAACAGAAATGATAAGAGTCGCGCGGAAAATTTATATAGAAGTATAACTTTCATTTGCGGTTTTCATTCGGCGTTCGAGACCATCGTTCCGACCGGTCGGCAATTCGAACTCGTGACGCGTACCATCACGCTAATTGTAATCAGCATTATGAACGGGAGGTCCATTATTTATTTCGCATGATTCATTCGATTTGTACATTTGAAGCTATGATAGAAAACCATATATGCGCGGTGAACTTGTTCGGTTACGATAGTTGTTCGTACTATTTGTTGTATCTCCGGCGACATGTTTTATACTCGTACAGTGACATTTCGAAAGATTTGAATTGTAAATCCCACTCCTTCCCCCATTTCTCGGCGCTGCACGGCCACCCCGGTTTACCGAATTGTCGCGTTCGGCGTTCGTGAGTATCGAAGCGCGGCGTCGGACACAATGTTAACGCACTCTAGAAACCTCCTCGTGCTCGAGGAACATTAATGGATCCACCTTTTCGTTACGGCTAACCATTTAAACAAATTAAACATTCAAAAATCAACCATTAAAAAGCGGTGTTGTATTGAAAATCATTGACACGTATTGTACAGATTTCCCTTTACTTTACGATGCGATGCCGGTGGACAAACATTCGGCAGCCAAAGGATCATTTTATTGCCTTTCTTGTTTTTAGAACGTGTTGCTGTTAAATGTCAAGTTACCGTACCAACGGTGTAAAAATATTCTCGCTAGGGAATTTCCATTGTTTTCGTAGTAGTCTCGAACGGTAAATTATTAACGTTTGTAAATTAGTAGACCGTCTCGGTGTGTAACGAAGTATTAAAAATTTCTGATGTCGTGCCACTCCTTTGCACGAGGACATCGTGAAACCATTGATAAGGAGAACTCGCCAGATCTTAAATTAGTTTCGAGACCACGCTTGGTCGGAAGTTAGAAAATCCGAGGAATAAAATAAGCGTCGATCGGAGAATTCGCTGTCCGTCGGAAAAATTCCGTCGAAGTGTCTCGTAATTAATTCCGAAAGTGGACGTAATTTGTTTCTTTTAACCTCTAGACCTTCCTCGGAATGATGTAAGAGAATAACTGCTAACGAAGCGAAGCTAATAATAATATGGGGTCTGATGGTGGGGGAATCTTTCGAAACGTTGTTGTACACGTTACGATATGCAATGATGAATCATCGGAGAGACATAAATTCGATGACATTTCAATTCCCAGTTTCAGCTTGTCTTGCGAGGCGCGTTTCAATCGCGCACGCAAGGATCGTCGCGAAACGATGCAGGAAACAGAAGAGGGAAATTGTACAAAGCTAGCAGCACGGGAAACTTGTGAACGCTAAGTTCCTTTAACTCGCTGAGTTTCATACATCGGATTACAATTATTCCACCGTACAAATATACAGAAGGGAGAACAAACATTTGTCATCGTCCGTATTCGGAAACAAAACGACAGGCATTCTATGAACACGAATTTATCCAATTGTGTAACAACGTTCCACAGGGCAGACAGATGGTCAAAGTTATTTATGTCTCGTTCGTTCGCACAGTATGACAAATTCCTTTCACGCAACCGAGCCGCGGATTTTAATGCATCCGCAGTAACGCCGAGTTACTCAACATTCGGTATAATGTAAAATTCAAAGGAAGCGCAGAACGTGATTCTCGTTTCACTTGAAACGTCGACTCCATGAATCTCTGCGCACGACGATCCGTATTTGCATGAACATCCGCGGCTCGCGGATGACTAACACTTTGTTTCGATCGAAACATAGTCGCGACAACGCAAACGTGTCAAGGACTGCTGTAAATTTCTATTAAATATATGTGTATATCTTTTTCTGTTTTTTGTTCTATGTTTGTCAACAAGATGTATACTCGCAACGACGATGACGATCACGATCACGATCACGATCACAGCAACAACGACGATGACGATGAAAGCTACGAATGACAGAAACGATTTGTCGCGATTCTGTGGGAGAAGCTAATGAAAATAGGATGGACCAGGCGGATAAATCAGTATTAGATCAGTTAATCGAAATATTTTAAGGAAAGCCAACTTAATGTTTACGAAACTCGAGTTCAAAATTTGAAACCTGATTAAAACCGAAAGAACCACGGCGATCATTCCTCCACCGTGCAATAGAGCATTTAAATAACGTTAAGGGCGTTCCGTAATTTAACTTAATCATTATATACAAATAGGATGTAATTTTCCTTGATAGTATGTCCGTTAATCGATCTATAAACATTCTGTAAAGTTTGTGATAAAGGGAAGCTATTGTATTATTCGACTCGACTATTCTCGTTCCGACGTAGCGCCGTCATAGAAAACCGTTTCTCCTCGAGGAATCTCTCAGCGGGTCGTGTGTCCGAACGGATCGATTCCATCGACCGACTTCAATGAAACGCGAGATAACAAATCTTAAAACTCACGTGTATGTACATTCAGATCGGCGTAACAGCGAAACAAGTCTGCGACCACCGGAGAAGAGAAGCGATACCTTTTTTCCTAGCGATTCGTCATTTTGCGGAATCATTTCGGATTCGATATTTCGCCATCCCCCCGTCCGGGAAAATCGGGAATTTCGAATCGATTCGAATGTGTTTCGTTGCGTATGTGTGTGTAAAGAATGTTTCGATGTTCATTCAACACGTTCATGGTTTTGCGGGTTACATTTCTCGGTTCACGTAAGACCGCTGGAAGATCAATTTCGTCTCGCAGCATCGATCCCTCCGTGTCAAACCCATGAATGTGTGACTCGACCGTGGGAACTAGTTCAATGTAAAATGTAATCCTCGAGTACAACGTTCCCGAGGTTTTCTCGCAGGACTCGATTTCTTATTTAAGTGCAATTGTAAAATAATTGTTGATTATTCCCCCTTCTTGTTATTCGTTTCGAATCATAACTCGCGCTTATGGTTCCGCTATAACAAAGGTAGAAACGAGGATCTGCCGAACAGATTCCCTCGGCAGAATTTTTATTTTCGACGTTAACGATATTATGGTTGCAGTGAATCTAAAGAAAATAAGAAACTCGATTGCCATAATCAGAATCCTTTTCATTCGCTTAGCGATCTTCCTTCTTGCGACATGAATGTGCATTCGCGATTCAAACTTGTAATAATATTTCATCGACTAAGAAACATTCAAAAATTCCATCGAATTCTATTCTAAACAATCCTAAAATCGTATCATTGTATCAGTCGTAGCACATTCGCGAATCGAGCTCGAAGTAGAATCGCTGTCGTCATGCAACATGTATATTCATTACTTCCACATCAATTTCAGAAGCAAGAGCAAAGTACGTTCAACGCGTTAATTCGGTAGCCAGATGCGTCCACGTTTATGGGTCTCACGTGAAAGGGGGCGCGATGCATTCGAAAAGACGCGTTAACGATTTCCTATAACCGACTCGAGTTCGTTCCCGCTTCCCGAAACACGAGGCGGCGGCGATCTTCGCAGGGTTCCCTGTACGAGCGTGACGGTTCGCCGTGAAATCCGTGAATGTGTTAATGTGTGACGAGCTGCGGCGAAATTGTTCATAGCAAAATTTTAGCGATGATTATTTAAATGCGTGCATTTCGAGGAGGACTGAGGATTATCGCGACGAGAAACCCGACGAGCGATAACGACACTCCGAACGAGATTCGAGTGTTTCGCCCGCGACGAAGTGACGACGCTTTTTATTTTAATGAATTCATCGGCGCGATACGATCCCGATCGGATCGATCTCCGATCGAGATGTCTGTCGGGCGGTGATCAACGGTCTCTCGTTATCGGGCGTGCATCGCGATCGCACGCGGCGAGAGGCTGCTTTTCGTTTTCGCTTTTAGCCTGAAGGAATCCTTTGCTTTCCGTTGCGGGGCAGCTTTCCTCTCACTGCCATTGGAAGGTCGTTAGTTTCCTCATTGAACTTAATAATGCTCGTCGTTGTTAAATTATTAAATACACGAAGTTCACGAATTACGAAGTGCAATGTTACGATAGCTGTCGCGAATGAGAGCTTGCGGCGGGCGAAGGAGAGTGTTCGTGCACGACGCGCCCATCCGGCCCCCCCGAGTCCAATCGCCGATACCGTTCCCGGTGGTAACGGTGAATTCGAGATGATTCGTGTCAGACTATTCCACGAGTATACGTAATTTTTTATTGAAACACAAGTCCGATGATGATAGCGTTGAGGTTGACGATTCTAACGAAACGGTGTCCGTCGATTGTAGATGGGCGACGCCGGTGCACGAATACTTGTTCGGCTTCTGCCGTATGTATATGACGACCGGCAATTTTAATTGAATATTCAGCCTTACGGCGCAGTTTCGATAATTCGAAGAGTCTACGGTCTCGGCGTATACTGTAACTGTATTATTGTCAGTACTGTATTATCTTTGTTGATCAAAAAAAAGAACGAAAGCATAAAATTGTATATTATCATTATTATTTTCTACGAATTAAGGTGTAATAATAAATGAATTGCATAGCCCAATAATATCTGTGGATTTGTCATTTGAATCTGCTCGAATTTATGAATGATATATCTGAATTGTCTTTTCACAGGTAATTTCGTTTAACGTGCCTGACCCATCGAAAAGTGCGAAACTGGATATGTTTTGATCGATGAACGTGTAACGCTGGGTAAAGTGTTGCAAGGTTGCACATTTGTAAATAAATATATGTGTATCGGTCTCGTATGCTGAAATATATATTGAAATAAAAGGAATCGTCAAATTTCTTTGATTGTGTAATATTTGAATGGGTAGGTAGTAGCTATCTGGTGGCAGTGTCATGAAACAGAGTGCGCGCCTTGTGGTATGCAACCTGATGACTTCGACATTATATCATCGACGAAGGACAGGATCCCCGTGGGTGATTGTATGTGTTAGAAAATATATGTTATATTGTTTTATACAGAGTATTATCGAATATTTAGAATATAATTGGAAATCGATCACTAAATGATGTTTGGTTTTAATTATTGTGAAATTTTCAAATCGAAAGTGGAAGCACCGTTGAGACTGCAACCCTTCATACTTAATCTGGATATTCTATTTCGAATATAAAGTAGAAATTATATACACGTGATAGATAGTATGTAAATAGAAAAGAATTAGAACAAAATAATTTGAAATCTTTGTATACTTCCTTAATTTTAACAATTTTGAAAATATTTCCAGTTTCGTTAAGAGTACGTCTGTAGTTCGTAAGTGTTGTTAGTAAATATTAAATATATAATATAATGTTTATCAATCTGTGTCGTAAATAATATTAAAGAAAATAATTTTAAGTGTTATACTGAAGCTTTATATTTTTATAATTTTCAGAACCCTGACTTTGAAAGTACTAATGGACTTCTGAGAGACACATGTTGTACCTACGTCGATTCCACGTGTTAACCTAGATTATTTGTAAATATTACTTTTTTTACTGAACACGCAGAAATCATGACGTTTGCGGAATTAAATTTAAGCCCATGGATAATTAGTCAGTGTAATTCTATGGGTAAGTGTTAATTTGAGTATTAAGAGTATTGTATAATATGTGAAATTTTATGGTATTATTATTTGCCTTAGGTCTGAAGAAACCTACACCTATTCAGCAGAATTGTATCCCTAAAATTTTAGCTGGTGAAGACTGTATCGGATGTGCAAAAACTGGCAGTGGCAAAACACTTACATTTGCACTTCCTATAATACAAAAACTATCAGAGGATCCTTATGGTATATTTGCTCTGATTTTAACACCTACCAGAGAATTGGCTTTTCAAGTATGATTACAAATTATTTTTGTGTGTAATTTAGGTTTACAACTGTCATAATGAAAATATTTATATACAGATTGCAGATCAGTTTTCAGCAATAGGAAAGTCTATTAGTTTAAAGAGATGTGTAATTGTAGGAGGAATGGATATGGTAACACAAGGTTTAGAATTGTCAAAACATCCACATATAGTTGTTGCCACTCCAGGTCGTCTGGCAGATCATTTAGAAAGTTGTGATACATTTTCTTTAGCAAGAATTAAATTTTTAGTTCTGGATGAAGCTGATAGACTTCTTGGTGGTCATTTTGATGACCAATTGAAAACTATATTCAATGTTTTACCTAAACAAAAACAAATTCTCATGTTTAGTGCAACAATGACAGACACTCTTGATAAAGTGAAACATATTGCATCCAATAAGGTACGAATTTTCATGAAAATTGATATATTAAAATATGGAAAGAATGTGACTGTAATAATATCTTTTAAAGGTTTTTATGTGGGAATCCACAGATGACTCCGGTGTAGCTACAGTAAAAGAACTTGATCAACGTTATGTACTTTCTCCAAGCGATGTTCGGGACTCTTTCTTGGTAGAAACAGTTAAAACATTTAGATCAACTAACAAAGATGGATCCATAATGATATTTACAGATACTTGCAAGTAAGTATATACATATACATATTATTTATAGCAATATAAATAATAATAATAACTTAAATTAAGTAAACATTGTTTCATTGTATCTTATTTTTCAGAAATTGTCAAGTATTATCAATGACATTAAATGAAATTGGTTTTAAAAACGTTGCTCTTCATGCAATGATAAAACAAAGAGATCGTCTTGCAGCACTTAGTCAGTTCAAATCTAATCATACAAAAATTTTGATAGCTACAGATGTTGCGGCGAGAGGTTTAGATATTCCTACAGTAGAATTAGTTATAAATCATATTGTACCAAATGTACCAAAAGAATACATTCATAGAGTTGGTAGAACAGCTAGAGCTGGCAAAGGAGGTTTGGCTATTACTCTAATAACGCCACACGATATCAAATTATTGCATGCCATTGAGGATACTATTGGGACAAAATTAACAGAGTATAAAGTTAATGGTAAAGTATTCTTGCGTTTGTTATTTAAATTTATTAAAAAACACAAACGATTTAACATAATATTTTTACATAGATAAAGATATAATTACGATTTTAACTCAAATATCGGTTACTAAGAGGGAAGCGGAAATGAAATTAGATGAAACAGATTTTTATGAAAAAAGAATGATTAATAAGCGTAAGAAGTTAATTCTTGAAGGGAAAGATCCAGATGAAATCGAGGAAATTTTGGAAAAAAGAAAATCCGGCAAATCAAAAAAAGGTAAGAAAAAAAAACTTGAGGGAAATGCACATAATGCAGGTAGATGCGATTAGTTCTGGTTTTATTATTTAAAAAAGTGTATATAATAGTATAAAGATTAAAAGTTTAATTACTGCTATGCAATGCTCGTGTAGTACATGGCAGATATGTAAGGCACTTAGATATTTATATTATATTTTATGTAATATATGATTATATGTACACTATAATGATTATCGTATTTAGTCCAAAAATGGAAATAAGAAAATATTTATTTTTAAGAATTTATTTTCACTAACTGCGAGTTGTTAGGAAAAAATAGAAGACAATCACAAAATATGTAGTCTACATAAATATATTCATCCGCATTTTTAAACAAAGATCTGTATAATTAAAAACTTACGATTAGAGTAATTTTATAACCATACAATACTTTCAAATATTGCACATGATAATATTCCTATTTACAGCCAAAAAGCATACGCAATAAAAAATAATTAAGTAAAATTTCCTAATTAGTTATCAAAATAATTGTACTTTGGCATTCCTTTTTTTTAAAAGTTAATTCATCTAATGCTTGGATTAGAGGACTACATATTTGGCAAGTCATAACATACACTTTCAAATATCATTTAAGAATACGAATGAAAGAATATTAAATATAATATTAATAAGGTATGAAACTGAATATCTAGAGATGTGCTCTTATTTTCTCTTCATTTTTAATTAAATTTAATTTATTCAAGAAAGCATAAAGTTCTGCCACATATTCTTTTGGATATTTGTAATAATGTCCAACGTGCGGAGATTTGTCAAATATTTTGACGTAAGTCTGAAAGGAATAAATATAAATGTAGTGTTTGTTTCATATAGTTAGAATTCTTACCTTTACACCATTGATGACCCATTGGTCGTGTACCCTCATATTGTCTACTATGTTACCAATAGGGTCCACTTTACTTATAAAGAATAATGCTGGAGTGTGTACTAAATTTGTATGAAATAATTGACTAGATCGTATATAATATTGAGTAGACTGTTTGTAAAATGTTTTTAAATGATATCTGAAAATTATTTTAATGCATATTAAATTTAAGATGTTAAAGTATTTATAATTGTAATAGAAAATTAACTTACTGTAGATATTTCTGTAACATGTTTTGCAACACATCATTTCTGGGAAATACAGCACGTGGTATACCTGTTGATAATTCAGTGACATCAACCACGCTATCCCAAACCTGACCAACAATCATATCAATAATATGGGCATATTTTTGACGATCACTTTGAATTAAATCCATTACTTCTCCCCACATATATGCACCTACTGAAAACCCATGTAACAATATCTGCTGATTACGTTCATATTGTACCAAGAAATCTAGTAATTCTGCAGCAACTACCTAAAAGAAAAATTTCTCTTAAATTATATTTCACATACACCTATTTTTTCTTTTTTTAATTTCATCTTGTCTTCTTACTCTTGATCCCTTTGTGGGCCACATTAATTGCCAAGGTGTAAGTGTTACTACTGCAACATCAAAACCCTGCTCTGTATAAAGATTTACAAATTTCATAACATGCCTAGGCCTTGACATTAGCCAACTTAACAAAACCAATAGTGGTCTGTTGTCATCATTCTTATATTTTTGTATTCGGCCAGCAGAGGTTTTAATTTTGTTATCTTGAGAGATATATTTAATATTCCTAGTAATATGGTGACTGGTTAATTTACACACCAATAAAAACAGGGTCTAATGCAAAAAGAAATGTTCATTAAGATATAAACCTTTTCAAGAAACAAAACAATAATAGTACATAAATTTTTGTACAAAGTAAATTACTGAAGGAATAAATATACATTACCAAATTTTGTTTTTGATTTAATAATTGAGGCTGTGCGTATGAAACAATTCGTGCTCTTGCCAAAGTAGATGACAGAATTTTTCCAACAATCATTGTTGTCATTAAGATCTTCTCAGCCCAAAATGTACTGAACTAATTTAAAAGAAAAACAGGTTTTTAGTAGTAATAACATTTAATCTAATTAAAATAGTATGGTATGATTAGAAAGTATTATACAGTATCTAATGACTTCCTAACATTCTAATGACTGTCAAGTTAACAGGTTATAATGTTTTCACATTGAATATTCATAAACTTTGCATTAATGAAGTACGATTCCCATCAATTGTCACTTTTAATGAACGATTTCAAAGTACGAGGAATACATAAATTAATGAGTCAATAAAATGTACCACGTACCAATATATTATGTGTTTATAATACTACATGATGGTTCGAAGTACAACTTAAAATTAACTTAACCCACCAATTAACCTATGTATGGTATTCTTATTTGTCAGTATAGCATATTGTTCTTCTGTCCTTGTTTTTTCACGTCATACCTCTATCCATCTTTGAACACAAAGAGTCGTAAGCGAATATCAAATTACGTATATTCTTTCCCATATTCGATTTATATGTTTTCGATGGACTGTATGACATAAGTGGCATAGCAGTGTATTTCCTTGAATTTTATCTATCGATAACACTTGTATTATTAATTTTGCCAACGCAATTATAAAAAGATAAACCATATCACGGGTGTCGAAATAATATCAAACTGCAAGTTACTCGTCTCACTTGCAATGTCAAACATATTTCCGTTTGTTGTGTTGACATTTCATTGTTCTATTATTATAATAATAGAGGAATGAAACAAAAATAAAAATAACTATATATCAATTACCAAAACTATACAATCGATATCAATGGTAACTTAGTTTTATTGTAGTATAAAAATGCATTGAATAAAAGAAATAAAATCGGAAGGGACTTACAGTAGCTTAGTACAGTATTCTCGCGATTAGTACCCCGTCCGAACTGCCAGGATTAATGCCCGGTAGTCATCCCCACTATTGAGGAGCGAGTCCCCTCCGCCACTGTTATTCAGTGGTGTAGTCTCGGTGAGATAATATTAATGCAATCATAAAATTCTCTTAAAAAATGTTTCCTTATGAACGAAACTTTTATTAACATATTTATGAAATTCTTCTCATTACAACAAGATCAAACATGAAATACTTTATATCACAATTTACTAAAACAAAATAGTTTATAGTAATTAATTAAATAAGTAAATATTCCAAAATGTACCGTCTTTGGTTTCGTTTTAATCAGAGAAACTTTACAGTTTCAATTGGTAAAAGTTTCGTTGCATCAATATCTCCTCATTGATCTATTCAAGTTAACATTGCGTCAATATCCCCTCATGCATCTGTTTGTTTTGATCGTTCCGAACGTCGAGCGTCTCGCTTTATCATTCGCGCTGTCCTTTTTTACGGAGGACAAAGAGGATCCCCGTCGCATTTTATCACGGCTTCTAATCAACACCAGTGCATGATTTTTTACTCGGTTGCAGTCCCGATTTTCGAGTACGAGGGTACTGTAGTTAAATTTCACTGGCTAAGTGACAATGAATATTTATATTCTCATGCGGTGGCACGAATCCCTTTTTGTGATATTTTTATCGTGAATAAATACATAGCACGTGCTTATCAAATGCTTCGTAATCATTCATAGTAATCCGTTAAAAATTTCACATTGTATACAGAAAGCATTACTCATAAATACTTTGATAAGAATATAATGAATAAGATACAACTTGTTGCTGACAGTACGATTTATCTGATGTCGAATAATTTAAAAATAATATATAAAATTATACAGTCATCGGCGGATCTCTTTGAACCCGGAAATTAAAATTGTCGAGCATCATATAATGCGTTACATATCACGATTGTCTTTTATTCATTTATTAAATATTATTAATTCCCACGGTAGTTAAGCCGACTTATAGTTCAAAAGTGAAGAAGTTCAGAGGAATTTATCCACTTACAACGCTCGGCGTGTGCAGCTTGTTAATAAAAAGACTCATGTTCTGGAGACCTTCTTTAGTATTTGCAAGTTAAAAAGTTACATTATTTCAGTAATTTGTATTTGCATACAAAATGTATGCAAAAGACATTCGAATTTTATTTTTTGTTTACTCATCAATTTTTAAATATTGAAATATTTTTTTGCAATTCATGGAATATTTGAACTCCACAGATAAAAATATACGGGTTATGGAAATGATTCTTAAACCACTTTTTCAAAATAAATATTTTTTGTAAAATTTTGAAAAATAATGTGGTTTAATATATATCAAAAAGTATACTCCAATGAACTATTCAGAAATTAATTGGAACTAAATAGTTTTAGGTTTTAGTATTTTGATTGGATCTCATTTTACTGAATTTTTCAAAACCTATTGTATTTATGATACCGTACAATATGCAGTTATACATTTTTTAAATCATACATTTTTCAGGTACAGAAAATTTATTAGCAATGAATTACTTACATGATTATAGTAGGGAAAAAAGAATTCATTTATAAATGTCACATTTTACAATAGGTATTTGTAGAATTTTATTACACCTTTTATTTGTTACTTAAATAGTAATTTTATGGTAATTTACGCTGGGTATAATATAAAGACGGACTCGATACAGTATCGTAATTTTATAACAAAGTAGAAAGTATTAAGTAACACATGAAACTAATAATGGACATCTATTCTAGAAGGATTCAAGATCCTATACTGCACTTAATAGAAATTGTTGACTTGACTTGCATATTGTTTACATAGAAGTTACTTAAATTTATGTTTAGATTACTAATTTTGAAAAGTGTATACGAGCATCATGCCTACAAGTGTTCAACTATAAGCTCCATTTTATAGCAAAATTGTATGTTATAGAAATTCGGGAATAATAATTACAATTTTGCTATTTGTTATACAACATCATTGCAAATTGCGCGTAAAGTTTTTATTTCTTTTGTCATATTTTATTTACAATTCTAAAGGATTATCGACTGTTGCTGATTTGTAAGTGCCAATAACATGTTTGAAGTTAAAATGGAATAAACATCCAATAAATACACATACTGTATGTTTTATGTGCTGTCCAGTTTTAGTATTTTTAAACGCATATTTCTGTATTTATTGTTTGAAATTGGTCTATTATAATGAAGTAATATTTCCCTTAGAAAGTGTTATTGTTATTAATAATAAATTACCTATACCGATGTTATATAAAACACATACATATAAATACTCTTTTATGAAGTGTATACTACTGAATATGGAGATATATTTTTTCCTAATATCAGAGGAAGAGAAAAAAAAGTATAAGCATATTTTAAGAAGTATGAAGAAACTACCAATTGAAATTTAAGAGTATTAGACATTGAAATGTGTTGATAAGAAGAAAAAAAATTACATTAAAATATAAGTATAGCTGCAGCAGAAGAAAATGATTTATTTAACTATCAATTTCCTCATTGATAGTATAAGTATGATACTGTTTTACCTTTTATCCACTTTTCTCTTCCTCTGTATTCTATTATATATTCTATATATGAATATATAGAATACACGTATATATATATGTATATATATGTATATATAAATATATATATACACATGTATGTATGAAGATGTATTATAATAGTAAACATCTATAAAACAGTTTATTGCAGTGTTTGTGAAACACAAATATATAAATTAAATAAATTACATTATATATAGAGAGATAATACATGATCAGACTTATGAATGCACACTGAAGTTATTAAATTTTCTACAATTATTTAGTATTTATATATCCGTATTATCCTATGAACCATAAGCATCAATTTAAAGTAAATATTTACTATCAGAATAATAATGCTGACATGTATAGAGTTACTTACAAATGTTTGTGCATGATTGTAGGTAACATACCTAATAGGAAATTAACATAAATTTGCACCTAAATACTGATCGTTATTGGGCCTTTGGAAGCACGTCAATTTATCTTTATACATTTTTTTACTGTTTTATATGGAACAGCTTGCTTTGTAACTTCCCATCATGTACGAACTTATACATGCATTGTGTAAGTAAGAAAAAGGATGTATGCCCTCCTATAATATAATGCAGATATAAGAACATTTTTCTTAGAATTAATAAAATATATCGCTCGATCGTTATTGGAATCTATTGAACTGAAACGTCAATGGTTGTGCAGAAGTATAGGCCAGTCTTTGACAATTGCATTCTTAATTAAATTGTCACTTCATGTCTTCCCATAAATTGGAAATTATTACATTTCTTAAGATATGTATTCGTATAGAGAGACGATATTTTAACAATAAAGACATAACACATTCTATAAAACTTTTATATCCTATTATATACATAAAATTGAAAACATAAAACGTATTTATAGAAGATTGTTCTGTTAAAACTGTTTGTATCGAGATAGTAGTGGTATAATGATAAAAGTATTTGAAAACAATATGTTACATATAACTCAATAATATCACAAAATGTAATGTATAAATTTCTTTAAAGTTACATTCTGGAAAGAATCAATTTTAACGATGTCAGTCTGTCGTTTGTGCTTCAAACTGATACTTAATCAACAATTCTTCTCTATGAAAAAGTAAAATTTCGGGCAAGAGTAACAAAAAATTGCATAATGTCATGGATTAAAAGAAACATGTTTTTAGCTGACTTTCTTATCATTCGAATAGAATATATGAACGAAGATTTTCACTATAAATGTATAAAATTAACTTCATGGATCATACAAATGATTGTACGATGAATTATGAAGTTAATTTCATATTCATACAAATAATAGAGTATTAATATTTTTTACAAAATATTTTTGTTTAAATGGCAGTATCGATATAGCACAATCTCATAATTTCTTACTAGTTCTTTTGTTTAATGTAAGACCAATGGCAGTAAATATTTTATATTACTTTAGCACACTTAATACGTATTACCATTCAAAAAAATTATCTTATTCCATACCCGCGACAAAAGATCGCATAAACGTACTGTATGTAATATACAAGTGTATATTCGATATCTTTTACGCACTGCAGAATCAAACAATTTCACTATCGAAATTGTTCACTTACCCTTGTACCGACAGTCATACCTCTAACAAAGTCGAAAGGAAACCCACAGATAGTGGTTTCCGATTATTTTGTGCAGAATTATATACAGGTTTCTAGTACAAAATGGCTTTGTGTTGTATCTCAGAAGGCCTCGACGAAACTTGCTGGAAACAGTCCCGTGCGACCTGTTCTTTGTTGGGTACCTTTGTACCAACCGTCATCACGCTTCTTATGTACATAGATTATATCTCCTACACGAAGTTCTAGCTCGAATTCACTGTTTGGTGGATATGGCACAATGCAGCGAAATCTGTACACTCGTTCACTGTAAATATCGATGAATTATAAGCTTGTATCATCATCATAATTGTTAGCGTTACAGAAGCATGAGATACGTTACCGTTCTCGAGAAGATTGCTGCTTTGTCTGTTTCCCCATACCAGCATCTAAGGAGTTACTCTTACGGTGATGATTTCCGACCGTTGTGCACATCATTCCACCAGACTCACTGGATCTAACAATATTTGAAAAAAAAATGAGAAAAAAAATATATTACAATGGTTCACAAAAAGAACGTTAAACTTCTGTGCAATTATTATGAAATTAATACACGCATATTCAATTAACGAGCAATTGTTCCAATGGAATTTGTGATTGTAACAAGGGAAACAATAACAAGCAACTGGAAAACATGGCTAAGTAAAACAGGCGTGGAATGTAATGCTTAACGCTAACCACATACTAAGCTTTTATAACACAAAAAGTTTTCCATGGTTCCACGAACATACTTACCCAAGTTATCGCGCGTTTAATTATAAATGTTTATGCAGACAAACATATACGCCGTACGATTATTATGTACACATTAATTTGTATTCAAACACAAAACTCAATTTCCATTTTTATATGAGCTGAACAAATATACTTTACTGTAGCTGCTAATTTTCTTTGCGACTCTATCTGCCAAAAGAAACGTATAATTACAGGCGACGACTAACCTCTGGAGAATCGAGACCGGTAAAGATGGTCTCTCCTTGTACTTAAGTCTTTGTGAAGACGTGACGTGCCCTTGTACAGAGCCTGGACACAAACGATGATGGTTGTTTGAAGCATTTAATTCCTGTGTGGCTCCCACCTGTAGCAACTGACTTGGACAAGATCCCGATCTAATTTTAAATATACA